GAGAGAGAGAGAGGTGCATACCACTTTCGGAGAGAAATTTATGAAGTGAACTCATGTGTGAGAAATGAAGGCTCAATAGAGTATTTATAAGTTTCTAACCTTCAAATGTGGAGATGCTTCTAGAAGGATGAATCTTAGCCCTCCATGTCATCTACCAATAGCTACAAAGAGAGGTATGATCTTAGCCCTCCATGTCATTTACCAATAGCTACAAAGAGAGGTATGATCTTAGCCCACCATCCACCATCATGCCATCAAAATGAGTGGTTTACCCTCTTTTAATTCACTCCAATTTCCCTTGTTATTAAAATACCCATGCTCTTTACATTTAATAAAGTTAAAACCAAGATGGAGGGTATACCCTTATAGTAATTTGTCAAAAATTCCAATAAAGAGAAAATCTCAAAAATTCCCTCCATTTTATAAAAGCATGTGGGACTAATGGAATCATGTAAACTAGGTGGTTAATTACACATTTACCATATACCCTTTCTAGAATCCTCTACACATATGCACAAACCCCTCGCTTAGGCATTAAACATGGGCCAAAATAATTTTTCAAAACTCAATATGTCATAAACTTTCATTATTCAACACCCTTAAGTTCAATCAACAAACAATGAAAAGACATAGGGTCCCATAGTGGGTTGACATCACCCCCACGTCATCTCCACGTGGGGGGGATGTGGGACCGCCAAGCCAACAGGTGGACACCCATTGGCCATTTGAGTGTCCCGTGTGGGTCCTGGAGGACTCTTTGTTTGTCATTTCTTTCAAACAATTTCGAAAAATGGACTTTCTCGCCCAAAAAATTCCAGAAAATCCTATAAATCCATAAAAATCATTTTAATGATTTTCAGTCAAAATAAATCATCTTTGGCATTGATTAAAAACATTTACAAGGGAAATTATGATCCTTGGAGTTGAATTACGAAAGCACTCCACTCGACTAGACCCGAAATCCAAAGCCACCTTCGCGGTATGATCCAATAGACTCATGACCCACAGTGTATAATCAGGGGCTCATGATCTCAGCCTATCAAAGTCAAACCGCTGTGAAATTCTGAATCCCTAAGTGTAAGTGGATTTTAGGTGCACCTCTTAGAGGATACACACACACATGGTGCGGGGGTTCCTCTCTTGGCACATGTGCATAGCTCTAACCAGTAGATCCCTGGAAGAGCGACTTCCCATGCATTGCAACTCTATATATGCACATGCTATGAGAGGGTTCTAGGAGTCACGGATCTAGACCAATGTCCTCTATTAGCCCTAACCTTCCCGTACATGATTTTTTGTCATCAAGCTCGTACATAAATCATATTGCCCTGGCTTATTACTCAGTCATGAGGCACAAACATAACAACCAACCTTGACTAAGAGGTAACCCTCAACCCTCTCGATACCTCCCATACATAAATCATCCTCATGACTTAAATAAGATTCTAGGACTCTTAATCCCAATGTGCCAAAATCCTAGAGTCATGTCGTTCTTTTACTCCCACATAAGTTAAGAGCCATTGAAAATGTCGGAAGTTAAGGCCTTGAAAGGACATAATTCCAACTATATCAACAGGCTGCATGTACCAATGAATGTTCAAGAAAGAGCACAAGTTCAGAACCTTAAGAGCAGTCTTTTACAAGAAAAGAAAAGAAACAAAAGAGTACCTTGGAATAGTCCATTCCACCATAGATGTCACCAACAAGCATGTCAACAGCAGTATTATTCCCACGTTGACTAAGCTCCAACAACTCATCAAAACTGAAAAATAAAATGTTGTGAGATGACATAGTAAATAACCATTAACATGAAGACCAACGCTGTCCAAAAATCAGTACCAATCTACCTCTTGCACTTTGTCAGAAGCTTTCCTAGGCCCCAAAAGGTACCACCTCCCACATTTGTTCCACTAACTCGTTGAAAGCTTCCATCACCATCAACCTACAGCCAGCTTCGCATAGGTGAAGAACAGATGAAGAAGAAAGCTACACAAGTGTTTAAATATGAATCTATTGAGAAAACATACATTAAAAGCACATAAAAATGGAAACGAAGAACATAGGGCATTAAAACTGGGAAAAGGCATATCGATACCTTAATTACACTAACACCAGAACCTATATTGACAAGAAGGTAAGGGAACAAGTCGTTTTGGTCAATCTGTACAAATTCTTTACGTCCCTTCATGTAAGTGAATGCTTCATATCGGATGGTCTGCACATAATTTCATTCATTATTTTGGATATGAGCAGGATACCATGCACACCTTAGAATATTAAAGAACCACGCTCTTAGCTTCACCAGAATATTAAAGAACCACGCTCTTAATAATTTAATTCTAAAAGAAAGAATAATGCTTTCACATGCAAATTTATCAATGAATACATTCACATCACAATATCCATGATGTTATAAATAATAGCAATCAAAAAATAAGATAGATCATAAATTTAACATTATCAAATAAACCATATATACATCAAATGAAAATAAAACAAATAAACCATATACACATCAAATGAAAATAAAACAAACATGATCACTAAGCAAAGTCTACTATCTCATCCAAGCATGATCCATAATCATACAAGGTCACAAGCATCACCCAAAAATGAAATCTCACCAACTATTACAGATTGTATATTTCCCCATCCTTCTACCCAACCCACTATAGTATAGCTATAGCATGCTCGAGCCCACTGCAATATCTGAGGCGGGGCACAGTGCCTCAGCAAGTGTCCAACCTCAAGGCTAGCGGTGATTGGCGAGTAGCCCTCTTCGGTCTCGTCAATCCCTTCGTCCCTCTGTTCCCCCCAAAACAATCCTAGAAATGGCTCGACTCAGCGTTCAATGACATCAATCTCCATAAATCTAATAGGATCCAATCGCCAATTATCTAACACAACTGACAATCACAAAATGTTTTGTTTTCAAACTTACATAAGTTTATGGCCCTAGAAATTACAAGTTAAACAATCAGGAACATCTAACTGACATTATACAAATATATATCCTTAGAGAAATTTATGAGGTCAAGATAGTATTATTTTAAGTGAAAGGGATATCATGCTGCAATCCCACAATTTAATCAATTAACTGTCAGTAAGGCAATTTGGCAGACTTCTTCTTACATTACTCAAATCTCAGAAGTTATATTTACAGTCAAAACAAAAAAAAGTACCATAAGTTCAGGATCATACCTTAAGCAAAAAATTTGCCCCTGCAACAAGGCAATCCATTTCATCTTCCTTTTCCACAGTAAAACCCAGTGTATCTTTAAAAACCTCAGCAAATTTGTATGCCCCGCCACCTGTGGCCTTATCATCCATTCCACCCAATGTTTATAAAATAAGAATTTATAAGTCCAAGCAGAAGAACATAATTTGCATCATGGAAGTATATAAAAAATATTCATTTCAGGGAAAAGAAATTTTTTTGATTCAGCAAAATAGACTATCATCGAACACATGGCTCGGAGTGTACTAATACATATAGCAGATGCAGGAAGTATTTTGAAGTCATCTGCAAAACAAGACCGATGTGAACTTCGTACAGAATGAAATATATTAATTCCCTCGAAACATTTTATATAGCATTGATCAAGCTCTCCTGCAAAACCAAACATAGTTTTACAAGCTTTGGTATGGGGCAAACCAGGAATTATGGTTCACAATGTTTAAAGTTCTTTATTGAATCATAGATGGTTTCTTTTAGTACCAACCTTTACAATATGCTTTGAGTGTTGCTTTCATGCATCAAGGAATACTAGATCTACATATGCCAAACCAAAATCAAAGTTATAAGGGTTTCTAGAGGTTGTACAGGCTGGAGGAAGATTTAGTCAAAGTATCCAAGATCATGTTTGGAACACCAGAGATCTGCAATTGTATGACAATCCATAGGTAAAGGGTAGTCATGCGCATAACACAGTTTGAGATAGAAGTGGTAGGCTTTTATTTCTATGCTCAACAATCAGGTTCCCATTTTTATATAATTGGCCACAAAACAACTATTTTGATACTGGAATGACTTAAAGAGAACATCATGAAAGGTTTATGCAGAAACGCAACTCCACATACTGGAAGCAACCAGTGAAGGAAACCTTCTTCTACAGATTGATTTAGTAAAATACAGCTCTTCCATGATATTTCAGACTCTGTATTTACAGGAATATTGTGAAAGTAAACCACTCCCCACCTCCCTTTGTTATTGATTTATCATATGGGTTCTGTGGAATCAATGAATGTCCTCAAACAGACACAACTGCTTTCCAACTTCGTCTTCTTGAAACCTATTGTTTCTGGTGTTACAAATAGACCCAAGTATTCAGGGAAGAAGATGATAAAAAACAAATGAAAAGGGAAACAAAAATATACAAAGATGAGTCGTCTAGTACGATTACCTTTATTATAGCATTTTCATCAGGTAAACCTCCAAACTTCCATGAATGTAGATCTTCCCCTAGAAAAAAGGATTCAGCAAATGTCTACAAAAGGTATTCAACAATAAAGGATCTATCATAGCTCACAAGCAAATAAAAACTAACAAAATAAAAAAATAAGATATCAAATCCAAACAATCATGTTAAATTGTGATGTGCCAGCTTGAGAGAAATGAGAGAGTCATCCATGGAAAAATGGAGCCTACGGGGATTTTATAGAAGTGCCAGGATATAAACATCCATATGAAGACAAAAATGACAGTAAGGTACAGGTAAAGGATGCATGAGATATATATGAATGGAATGTCCTTAGAACAACAATAATGCAACATTTCATAGTTTAACAAACTCATCTAACTCAGCGAACCGTTACTGAAGGACAGTTTGCCAACCACAAATTGATGTTGCTTTGTGGTCACAGCCTTGGTAACAAATTAGGGTTCTGCTAATCAACAAAAAACATGTGGAAAATTAATAAGGACACATCTGATTTTATCTCAAAAAGAATGGAAAGTAACCTATGTGTATATTTGCTTGTAGACAACGAGTAACAGCATTGATATTCACAACAAAGGGGCATGCGGAAACTGAAAAGCCAAAACGGATATCCATGTTGTGAAGAAGGGAGAATCCAATTGCCTATCACAAAGGAGATCGCTCCATATTAGGCCTTAATACTAAGAAATAGTGTTTATTGAACTTGCAAATTTCTTACGTGTATGCTTAACAGATTTCAGATTTAGTATGGAGGTGAGTAAGCAAAACCTTATGCACTGAACTCTGTAAAACTACGGACAGTGCCACTCAACTCTAATATATGGTACAAAGATGCTACGGTACAAAGATGCCAATCTTTGGCAAGTAAAGGCAGATGACCTTTGATTTACAACAGTATTATCATAGCTTGGCCTATTGAAAGCACACTTATCTTGACAATCTTCTCCAAATCTTAAAACATTTACCAAAACCTTGGAGTGGAAAGTTTTGTATTTTCACACAAATAAAGTATTAAGAAGCAGAAAAATATCAGATCCTGACTCTTCAGTCCTAGTACCAACTCAATCGGTGGTAGGAAGATTTTGTGGAAAGCCAAGATTTTGTATTTCAAAGAAAGCAGAGGAATTCAAAACGCATAAGTCCACACTCCACAGTTGAATGGCCCAAGAAATGTGATCACAATGCATGAGCTCCCCAGATCTCTAGAAACTAAACTAATTGCTGGCACCTTGATCTCAAATTCAAAACATAATCAAATTGGAAAGGTGGTCACTGACATTTGTACAGAAAATGCATATATAAACACCAAGTATGCCAATTTATATCTATCACTGCTAGTGCAGTAAAAAGATATTCTAGACCACATTCCTTATATCACTTTTTTGACTGACTTATGTGAAATACCAACTTATGAAAAGATTTGAGATGACATATCTAGAATGCATCAATGAATTTCTTCGGGTCCAGACATACAGTGAGTATCAGTACACATATTAGATGCTAGAAATTGGAAGCTTTTAGATAGCCCCAATTTAAATATAGGAGCATTGCAAACTTGGTAACCCCACCTTTATCACACTTATCTCAAAAATTTAACCATCAACACCCCATCAGCAAATGCCACTTCTCATGCATGAGTATTATTAAATTGCTATCCATGAGAGCGAAGAACATGTTATCATTGCCATAGGGAGGCAAACAAGCTAATGGACTAGATTGGTATCTTAAGACTCAATGTGATCAAGTAAGGTGAGCAATCATTGTACGATGGCCAGGTTGGCTATGTGGTCCTCTCATTCCTTTGATTATTAATACAAGTTCAAGTTCCCCACCAACCAAAGCAGAACTATGAATCCTAATTTCAATTCAACAAAATCAGAAAATAGAAGGGTTCAAACCCACAGCTCGACTGGAAAGCACTCATATTGCAACTTTGAGGTTGTGGGTTCAGACCAGGCTAATTTAAGCATACATAATA